AAGGTCAATGGGGAGAGGATCGACAGTTCATCACATCTGCCTGATTTTCTAGGTGATTTGATGATTTTTTAAATTTATTTAGGCTATTTATTTTCGATTTTTATTTCTATTCTATGCTATGAAGATACGCTTGTCAAGTTAAAACAACCCTGCTGAAAAAAACATCAGAAACCATCACAGAAATTCTAATGGTTTCCACTACAAATGCCATTACAAACATTGCAAGCCATCAACCTTTAACCATTAAAACCATTAAAAATGGTTTTCTGTAGTGTTTTGAGACATATTCCACCATTAGGATTTAGTGATTTTAACAAGCCACCAATAGAAGGCAACCAAACAGGCACCATTACAGTGACCATTAAAACCAATACAAGTCATTTTTATTTTTTATTTTTGTACTCGTGATGCAGCAATTAACCCTGGGAAAGGTCAATGGGGAGAGGATCGACAGTTCATCACATCTGCCTGATTTTCTAGGTGATTTGATGATTTTTTAAATTTATTTAGGCTATTTATTTTCGATTTTTATTTCTATTCTATGCTATGAAGATACGCTTGTCAAGTTAAAACAACCCTGCTGAAAAAAACATCAGAAACCATCACAGAAATTCTAATGGTTTCCACTACAAATGCCATTACAAACATTGCAAACCATCAACCTTTAACCATTAAAAATGGTTTTCTGTAGTGTTTTGAGACATATTCCATTAGGATTTAGTGATTTTAACAAGCCACCAATAGAAGGCAACCAAACAGGCACCATTACAGTGACCATTAAAACCAATACAAGTCCCATTATAACCAGTAAAACCATTACAAATGTTGTGATGGTGTCTATTGTTTTTTTTGTTTTTCAGCAGGGCTGTCAAAAACAAAGAGTCTCATTCACTACAAGCACATTTTTAAAGTGCCCCTATTATGGATTTTTGAAAATGACCTTTCATGCAGTGTGTAGCAGCTCTAAGTGAATGAAAACATCCTGCAAAGTTTTAAATCTGAAAGTGCACCGTGTATAAAGTTATTGTCTCTCAAAAGAAAGAGTCGACTCTGAATCATTGAAACCAGTCGTTTTTAAAACGAATCTGAAATGGAAATGAGACCAATCGGACCAATCACCGCAGATTAGCGTCACGCAATGAAGTGGTTTGGAAAAATGAATCTTTGAGCGAATCGTTTGGGAGTCCTTGAGCAAGTAAGGTAAAAATAAATACACATTATAAGACAATGAAAGTGTTTTTTGACCTTGCATGCATGTCAACCTGTTGTTGGGGATTCCCAAAACCAAAATATGAACCTTTCATTACCCATAATAGGGGCACTTTAAGTAGATTTTGTTAGTTTTATAATTAGATTTATAATTATAAAAGGATTAATGTACAGTATATGATTTGCGCTACATCCAATTATCTTGAGACCAATTGGTTAAAAGTAATCACAAAAATGGCTAAGAAAATGGTTTAGTTCAGAGAAAAGGTCCACCAAGCAGTAGGTTTAAATCATTACAAATAAACTAGAACTGTGCCAAAAAACATCTATTTCAAATAAATGCGGTTCTTCAAACTTTCTGATCATCAAAGAGTCCTGTAGAAAAAAAACACTTTGCCAGTTTTCCACACTCCATTATGTAGCACAGCAATTTTCAACTGTGATAATAAGAAAGTTTTTGGATTGTCAGATCATGTGACACTAAAGACTGGAGTGATGGCTGCTGAAAATGGAGCTTTGCCATCACAAGAAGGAAGAATATATTCAAATAGAAAACTGATATTTTAAATTGTAATAATTTTTTCACAATCTTACCTTTTTAAACCATACTTTGATCAAATAAATATAAATAAAACTGACAGCCTGTTTAAATTGTGTCAAAATGACAGCTGTTAGAAAAATATATAATTTGGTAAATACTGGTGAAATTTGGATTAACACAACGAGACACTGATAAAATAGTTTATTATTTAAATATTTCTAATGTCTCAACACTCTCAAAATCATAAGCACCTTTTTAGTGCTTAATCCTATTCTGTACATGCGGTTGTGACTCTTTACAGGGCCGGTGCTACAAAAATGAAAGCAAGAGCATAGTCAGTTGAAACTGTAACAATAGCATTCTGGCGAAAGAGGCAAATGCTCCACTGCATGTTTGTGCACTGGAGAGTGTCAAAGGTTTCTATTTACAATGTCTTTTTGTAACTATGAGCAATGCAGCCAATCACAGACATATCTGTTGATTTCTTGAACACAGTGGCCAAACCTGGTAAAAGTACATGGTGAAGCCCAGGTAGCAGCAGTGCATATGACCGCCAGGGAGACCCCTCTAAAGGGAGCCAATGAAGATGAAATGGCCATAGTAGAATGAGAAGGTAGACCCCTAGGCTGAACACTGCATATAGTTCCAGCAAGTTGATATGTTCTGTGGTCCTCCAAATTGGCGGAGGAACATAAAACATTAGTGTAGGTAGTTATTATTTTGGAATGAGTGAATTTGTCCTGTTGAACTGCAATATTGTGCAGATATTACACTGCTTAAAAAAAATAAAGGCAGTGTAGTATCTGCATGATGGATGAATTTAAAAATCCTACGCAAAAGTGTATATTCATATAGACTACTATTCAAACTTTTTTGAAAGAAATTAATACCTACTGTATATTCAGCAAGGATGCATTTAATTAATCAAAAATAACAGTAATGACCGTATCATGTTACAAACGATTTCTATTTCAAATACATACCGTTTTTTTTACATTCTATTCTTCAAAGAACCCTGAAAAAATGTATCATGGTTAATATGAAGAAGAAAAAAACTGATAAGAAATGTTTCTTGAGCACCAAATCAGCATATTAGAAAGATTTCTGAAGGATCATGGGACACTGAAGAATAGAGTTATGGCTACTGAAAACTCATCTTTGCCATCAGAAATAAATGACAAAATATGTTAGAATAATAAACAGTTATTTTAAATTGAAATAATAGAGACTTCTTTCACACATATTAAAAATATACCCTCCCCAGGATCTTACTGGTCCATTAAGTCCCCCCTTACAAGTTGTGATATTACAGAGACAATATTTTCATGAGTCAGCAAAATTATTTAATATATAACTGTTTTATTATATCATCCAAACAACCTTTCATGAATCTCAGGGATACATTACATGTTAATGTCTTATGGTTGCCTGGTACATTTTGTTAACTTCTTCATTAGAGTTCACAAGAATGATTCACACGCCACATCCGATAATAGATAATATCTTATTATTGATGTACTGCATAATGTGCCTTTCATATCCGTAATAAAGACACTACATGAGATATATATACAGCATGTTCAGATACACATCCAATACTCAGTGACCTCAAAGGTAGAACAGGGCATATTCTCGAGATATTCTTCTGTTTATAATGAAAACAACAGTTGACGCATGGAAATTCATGTGCACTTCTCATGATTGTGCAACTGGAAGGCTGATGCTGAAGGCATGGCGAGAAACACCATAGTCCATTATAGATCAGTTCATAAAACGAAAGATAAAACAAGGCATATGACAATATACATCACTCCACTTCCAATAAACACTCAAAAGGAATATCAAACGGCAACATTTGATGTATTTAGTGGTGGATACACTCTGAGAATGATCACAAATATTTTTACATGGAAAGCAGAAATAAGCAGTGAAGCTAGTTCTCTGATTGCAGTATACAGAATCTTAGTTCCCTTTAGCTGCGCAACAAATGCTATTTTACTCTGTGCCTGAAATAAGTAAGCCACTCAAGCTTGGACTTTATCAAGTAAACTTAGGGTGTTTGCAAGGCAGCGATGTAATAAAACTGGATTACATCCAATGTTTCCTAAAATTCACCATCTACAGCAGTGTTTCTCAACCCTGGTCCTAAGCGCCCCCCCAGCACTGCACATTTTGTATGTCTCCCTTATCTGACACCCATTTCAGGTCCTGGAGTTTCTTTTAATGAGCTAATGAGTTGAATCAGGTGTGTTTGATTAGGGAGACACACAAAATGTGCAGTGCTGGGGGGCGCCCAGGACCAGGGTTGAGAAACACTGATCTACAGCAATGCTGTATATCAGACCACTCATCTGGGTAACTGAAAACGGCACTACTTTCATGTCTCTCATATCACACCGGGGATACTCTTTCTCGTTTCATATAAAGCATGGATGGGCAGGGAGGTTTTTGCCCAGAACAGAACCATACCGCCAAACCAAACTTTATGCTAAGTATCTATCATTTTGACGATAGTGGTCCTGACAGAACTACTCCCATCTTGCATCTCAGTTATCGACTAGAGTGAAAATGACCTCAGGGGATTTCAGTCTTAATGTTACTGCAGTATTATCGCAGGGTTTGTCTTTGTAATTGTAATTGTAATTGTGCATAATAATTAACTGTTTTCTTAGCTTCAGGATAATGTTTAAGTAAAATTATAAAATTGTTTAGACTCAAAACAGTATTTTTTGTCAATTTATTTATTTTATGTAAAAAAATGTCTTTATTTTATAGGGATTGGTCAACTTTCTGCATTAGTACGCATCCTCATTGGCCTGTTCTTAGCATCTATTTTATATTATATACCTTAGTCAGGATAAAAGGCATATTTAATTTGACCCAAATTTTTAAAAAATGCTGTGAAAGATAGACGTGCAAAAGGTTGTACAATTTTAAAGTTTTGTTTGTTTGTTTTTGCAAAACAACTGGAAATGTTTTGGAAAAAATATATTTTCTATATTTTGACAGCTGAATGATTGACAGTGAGGTACAACCCATTGAACAGATTGTATTTTTATGCCTCAATGCATCTTTTTGAATTGTGTCAAATTAAATATGGATACATTATTTTTAAGCTTATTGTATACTTCTGATTTTATGCATACACTAGGGTATGCGTACAGTATACATTTGATCAGCAGCACAGTCAGATTTTTCTAACCGTGGGCTTGTTCCAATGCCAATGCGGTCTTGGCCACTTGAGAGCATGTGCACTTCAGAGCAGTATTTGATGCTCATTCATGTTCAGAAACTCACATGCCTCAAAATTGTGTGATGTTAAAGCAAAGTGTGCATTTCAGTGTAGGTTTAATTCATTGGATATTACATATAATTTGGTAGTAAATTGTGAAGTACAGTAGCAGAGACACTGAACAAAGATGAAACTTACTAGTGTGCATGTGTCGAACAACTGTGTTCATGCACAATAATGAATGGAATATGGCAATGCAGTTTTCGTGTCAATTTTGGCTTTATACCTCAAAGACTTTCTTATATTATTGGTTGGTTCTCGAACACGGTCAACAGAAGATACATGAGTGGTGCTGATGATGCAGCTTCATTCACCGAACCAAAGCTCAAAAGCTAAATTTACCCAAAACTTTACCACAATTCACTTGCTGCCTTGCAAGCACAAGTATTTTGTTCAGGAAATGCAAATCTAGCCTACATATTGCATTGAAAACATCGCTAATATAAGTGTTTTTATATATAACTTTAACATTTTCATGTAATTTTTTATGGTTGATAATCTGATTCTCAAGGAAGGTTCATTAGGTATTTCTGCTCAACAGCATTCTTCCGTTTAATAAATTCCCTATGAATTGATTGGAAGCACTTAACCAAAAGTCTAGTGTTCTGTGCTGCAGCTTTAGAGTCTTTTTAACAACGCAGCAGCACAGAACATGGACACCAGCCATACACTTGTTTTCAATTAAACATTTAAACAGTCAGCGGCACTTCAAACCTTACTGCAAATCTCTGTCAGTCAGTAGTGCATCAAAAGAACAGTGATAAGGAAAGGAATTAATGGAAAGGGGTCACATTCACACAGGCACGTGTACACTAACACACAGAAAAATAAACTCAATATGTGATTAAGGCATTCGACGAAATATTGCATGTAGCCCCGATATTATATGTCAAGGTCCTTCTGATTTCCAAGCAGATAGATCCCATATATTCTGCACATGAATGCAGCCAAATGGAACTCAAATAATGATCGATAAGCCAGTCATCGATAATCCCCGAGGGATCTCAGAATATTCCATGTGAATGAAGCAATCCTCTTTGGACACTAAGGGCATATTTGGTTTGGGTATCAGTTTTTTCAACACAAGCAAGTATTTCGAAGTGACACAGGTGAGTTCAATCTTTATGGAGTATCTAGATCAGCAGTCCGATGATAAATAATTCTCAAATCAATTGAAAAGTTCATAATTATGATTTGTAGAGGAACAGTTTACTCCCGCATTGGACTCTAGGAACCAAAATGGCCGCCAAAGCCACACAGAGTTCCAAAACCAAACAAAAACGACACATTGCCATCTACGAAGGCTGACAATGGGAACAGGAAGTTGGCATGCTGTTCGTTTATGTCATCCTTCGTTTCTGCCAACAAATACCGACAAAGTCAGCGCCTCAAGATGAGCCAATTTTTGACCTTTGAAGGGATTTTTAAGATGAAACTAGTTTTAGCAGAAGAAGTGGGACCTTTAATTCTCAGACCCACTCCTGCATGGATCGCTTGCAGTACAGTAGGTGGCGCTGCGTATCCTTCCTCTTGAAGCGGAACACGGTGTAAAGCAGCACCATCATGCACAGGGCCAGGACGCAGGGGATGGCGATGGCCACCGCTTTCTCTGCTCCACCGCTGCTCTCCAGCTTGAGTACGATATCAACGTCATCATTGTCATATTGTGGCGGTTCTTCTTCCTCTGGAGGGCTCCAGTCCCAGTCGGGGTCGGCAGGTAAGCCGTCGCAGCCCATAAAATCACGCAGGATAGATCTGGGGTAGCCTGTCTCCACTCTTAGCCTCTGATTGTTGAACTTCCAATACTCCTTCCCCTTGTAGAAGTATGTGAATCCTTAGGAGAAAAGGAAGACAGCTCATATTGAACTATGCATACTGGAAAACATAACTACAGTATGTGTTATTCTTAGTTGGAAATAAGACATTTTAAGTCTAATGACATTAAAACTCAAGTCAATTATTTGTTACTAGTAATACATATAAAATGTTCATGGTACTCCAAGTTCCAAGAGTACTCCAAGAGTGTCATCATATTATCAGGTCTGAAAATGCATGGTGCAAAAACAAAGACACCATTGCCATATAACTGCCTGTACCTGTGCCATTCCAAATAAAATAAAACATAGGTATGAATTGTGTTTGAAGGTCCCATCGGGCACTGTTGGTTCAATTATGAAGAAGTACAGTAGATGTTATAAACCTAAATTCTGCCTAGAACTGGTTGTCCCTCAAAAACTCAGCATGAACAAAGAGATTTGGGAGAGAAGCCACAGAGAGGCCAATTATCACAGTGAAGGAGCTCAGAGATCACCAGATCCGTAAGACACATGTGAGGACTCACTACTTGCACAGAGAACATAGTTCAGAGAAACTTCTTCTCTTCTGCCAGTCAACACAGTGTCCTCCAGAGTGAACCAATTACTTAAACCCTGAAACTCTGGAGGGATGTTACGATGGAAAGAGTTGTAAAGCATTTCTACAGTCTAATGGCTCAACAATATACTTATATGTGGTGATATACACTTACATGGATAAAAGTAATAGGATACCTGACTAGGGACATCTAATGACATTCTAAATACATAGACTTTAATATAAAGTTGGTTCTCCCATTGCAGCTATAAGAGCTTCCACTCTTCTGGGAACGCTTTCCACAAGATTTTGGAGTGTTTCTGTGAGATTATTTGCCAATTTATCCAGTAGAACACTTGTGAGCTCGGGCACCAATGTTGGACGAGAAGGCCTGGCTCGCAATCTCCATTCCAGTTCATCCCAAAGGTGTTCACTGGGGTTAAGGTCAAGGCTCTGTGAGGGCCAGTCAAGTTCTTCCACATCAAACTCATCCAGCCATGTCTTTATATACCTTGCTTTGTGCACTAGGACACAGTCATGCTGGAATAGAGAAGGGTTTTCACAAAACTTTTCTCACAACGTTGGAAGCATAGAATTGTAAAATGTCTTTGCCGAAGCATTAAGATTTCCTTTCACTGAGAGTAAGGGGCCTAGCCCAACCCCTGAAAAACAGTCCCATACCATTATCCCACCTCCACCAAACTTTACAGTTGGTAGAATACAGTCAGGCAGGTAATGTTCTCCTGTGGCCCGTTCTTCGTACGTCACTTATTACATCTGAGATCAAATGTCACATCCAAGATGATATCATCACGCTAATCAGGATCTGGCTAATTCGGTTCTTCGAACGCACCTGTTGTTGATGATTAGTATGGCTGGATTGAGTTATCTGAGATAATTGCGCATTCATGGGTTGGTTTAAAAGGGGTTATGTATCGATACAGCAATGCAGCGATTGGCTTGCGGCAAGACAGCAACTGTAATGACATCATATAATTAAAGAAGACACCTAACGAAAAACTTGACAAATTTCTGGACTTCTATAACGAAACAGCCAAGCGATCAAAACTACATAAATGTTATAATAGATAAATAAAAATGTGCACTGTTTTTATTTTATGTTTCATTTTTTTTACATGATTCCCAATTATTTATATTCACGATTTCTAATATTTGTACAGGCTTTAAATTTTT